GACCTTCGAACCACAGGAGGAGGAGCTGAGTTAGAATTGAGAGGAGCAGATAAGCCATTATGGTCTGAAGTAAGAGGTATGGGTAGATCAGTGGCTGGAATAGGGAGGACTAAGTCTGGGAAAGGATCAATTAAGTCATCAAGAGTGGTTATTGATTGAAAGGGAAATAAAGAACCACATCACGATACACAAAGAAAGATTTGGATTCAATGTTGTAAAGTTTATATCCCTTGATACCGGGTACATATCCAACAAAAATGCAAGCAACAGCACGAGGATGAAATTTTGTTCTAGTGGAAGGCAAAGTGGAAGCATAGCATAGACATCCAAACACCTTAAGATGACGATAATCAACTGAAGTTTTGTGAAGGAGCTGAAAGGGAGATTCCCCACGTAATAAGGGAGAAGGAGTCCTGTTGATCAAGTAGGTGGCAGTAAGAATGCATTCCCCCCAGAATTTTAATGGCACGTGAGATTGGAAAAAGAGGGATCTAGCAACATTAAGAAGGTGCTGGTGTTTTCTCTCCACGACGGAGTTTTGTTCAGGACGCTCAACACAAGAAAATTGATGCAAGGTACCTTTGGAATTGAAAAAATCAGTGAACTGCAGTTCAGGGGCATGATCAGAACGGAATTGCTTTATAACTTTGCCAAATTGTGTCTCTATGAGAGTAAAAAATTTGGGAATGAGGAATTTGACATCAGACTTCTGCTTCATGAGAAATATCCATGTAAATCTAGTACAATCATCTACTAGAGTTAAGAAATAACGATATCCAGCATGAGTAGGTGTGTGATAAGGACCCCACGTGTCACAGTGAATTAAATCGAAGGGATCAGCAGAAAAATTGTTATGTGATACGAATGAAAGTCGTCTTTGTTTAGCTAAAGGACATATAGAACAATGAATTTCCTTATGAGAATTACAATGAAGAGACAATCTGTCTTTTAACAATTCCAATCGTTTAAAAGAGATATGCCCAAGTCTATTGTGCCAAATTTGAGAGGACACATTATTTACAGTAAAAGAAGAAGAATTAGAAGCTGAAGCATGTTGTAAAGCATTACAGACAGCAGATTGGCCAAAAGTGTCAATGACATAGAGATCAGCAACTTTGTTACCCTTGCCAATCATCCTCAAAGTTGGAAGTTCCTGAATGATACAAAAGTCCGTAAGAAAACTGACTTGAAGAGGTGAATTCTTTGTCAATGAGGTAACAGATAACAGGTTAAAACGAAATTGGGGAACAAAGAGAACATCATGTAATATCAAAGTGGGACTAAGACGAATAGAACCAGAAAGTTTAACCTGTATGCGAGAGTTGTTAGGAAGAGTAACAAAGGAATTGGGAATGGGAACTATAGTCTGAAATAAAGAATGATCAAAGCAAACATGATTAGTAGCACCAGAGTCTACTATCCAATGTCGAGGAGACTGAAATATAGGATGTTTGGAAATAGAGAAGCATATACCTGAGGTGTGAGTTAAGTTCACATCAGTGCCTGTGTCTGCTTTGGCTGTAGTCAAATGAGAGTTCAGCATGGCTAACAGGTGTTGATACTGATCAGAATTCAAAGTCTGAACAAAATCGGTCACATTCCCTTGGGGATTTGAGTAATCAGAGACCTGATTGGCTGTTGCAGATACCTTTTGATTTGAGAAAGTGACCTTCGGTCGTGTTTTGTAGCCAGGGGGAAAACCGTGTAGTTTATAACATTTGTCTATTATGTACCCAACCATACCACAATAAGTGCAAACAGGGCGATCATTCCTCTGAAATTTACCAGAGTGCTGAGTATGATAAGATCTATTTCCTTCATTTTTGATTGAAAATGCCATTAGATTGCTGTCATTGGACAATCCTGTCATCATAGTCCTCTGATGTTCCTCTTGAGAAACAAGAGCAAAAACCTTATTGATAGGTGGTATAGGATCCATAAGGAGTATTTGGCTACGCGTTTGGGCAAAAGAATCATGTAGCCCCATTAAAAAAGACATGACATACTCAATTTGATAATGATCTTCCAAGGCCTTAGTTCCTTCACATGTACATTTTCCACAGGAGCAGTTTGGTCAATAATTGCTCAATTCATCCCAAATTGTCTTCAGTTTAGTAAAGTACGTTCCCACAGTTAGCTGAGCCTGAGTGTGATTCATCAGATCACGCCTCAATTGGAAGATGCGTGGGCCATTTCGTTGCTGGAACCTTTCTTTTAGATCCGTCCAGATTTCAAAGGCAGAGACAGAATATATAATGCTTGCCGAGATCTCTTTAGACACTGAGTTGAGTATCCAGGATATAACAATGTTGTTGTTTCGAATCCAAGCATTGATCAGAGTATTATCACCTTCAGGCCGTGTGAGTGAACCATCAATAAAACCTAATTTGTTCTTAACTGATAGGGCAATTACCATACTTCTGCTCCAGGAGGTATAATTCTCTCCAATCAGTGGCTGGGAAACCAGTACACGACCTGGACTATCCGAATGGTGGAGATAGTAAGGACTCAAACCATCATCAATGGAATTATTTGCCAGGAATCGTGAAGGATCTGTCGCTATGGCAAAAAAAAATCAGCAATCTAACTCAGATGCAGAACAATGGCAGGATAGTATCGTTGATGAAGAAGATGAATCAGAAATTCCACTAATGCTCTGATACCATATTGAATTAAAGAAGGATGAAAATCAGACAGAAGAGGCGAAAAGCTTCTTATTGAATTGAAGAAATAAGCAATCCAATTTTACAATGTATCAGTCAACGCTATATATACAGAGCAGATATAACAGAATGGTAAATGGCGGGAAAAAGAAATAAGGAAAGACAGCTGGCAGCAAGCTAAAAATATCTAACATCTAATAAGTAGCCTCTTTACCCTTACAATAAGGGTAAAGGTGGCACACTATTCCACCAATCACAAATATGGTAAAATCCATCCTCAAAACATCTTTTAGAGAGGGTGCTCATGTGATCATATGCACCAGACACAGCATTTGGGTGACACTGATACAAGCGCCACCCAACTGTCGCCGTGCATCAACTTCTTTTCAAGAAAAAGTTTTTGGATTGATTTGCCGAAAAACGCACAAAAGAAGAAAAATGAAATGCATGGGAATAAGTAGAGAGCCTATAGTACTTCACCTTCATTCTCCCCGTTCTCCCTTCAAGCGTATATTGCAACGTGAAAGTTGATAACCTTTGATTGACTTCTTGTGTGTGTGTGTGTGTATGTATGCATAAATGATTGAGGCCACTTTTAAAAAGTTAGAAGTTGCTTTTGAAAACTAAAAAATTACTTTCGAACTTGATTAGATAATTTTCTGAAAGTATTGTCTAATTAGAAGAACTTTTAAAAAAAAATTTATCCTAATGACTCTTTCAGAAGAAGAAGTAAAAGCAAAAACTCTGTCAAACGTCCTCTAAATCAAATTATTGAAGGATACCTTAAAATATAAAGATCTACGACTTGTATGGGAGGGATTAAAATCGGATTAAAATTGAAAATATAGCCATTATTGTTGACTTTTATTAAACGAGTAGGACCCAATAACGGCCATATTTTCAATTTTAATTGGCTTTTAATCCCTTCCGAACGGGGCCCTAGTCTTATTTGTTGACATCAACATTAAAGTCTTCCAAATTGGACATTGCGTTGTAAAAACTAGTGAATTTTAACTGATTGGCCAAACTAAAACAAAAATGCAAAGAATAAATTCACTTTGAAACAAAATAAAGTTCGACGATGGACACAAAACATCGCCGTAGGGGGAATTCAAAAAAGCCTGTAATTTCTTGGGTATAAAACTAAAAACAGTACAGATCAACACATTACTTTGCAGTGTGTTCGGAAAAACTCTACCTATTATATTCTTCAGTTCTCAGAGAGTAAAGATATGTGCTTAGAAATTCTAACTACCTACTATTGATAAAATTGGCTCTGGAATCTTCTCATCCATCCATCAGCTGCATTTCATCGAATACTTCACGGACTTGCTGGACTTTAAGCGTTACTTTTGCTTGAAGCACCAGATTTCTTTTACATGCCCTTGCTACTAGAGGCGCCATTATTTCCTTTTCTACCAGAAGTTTTTTCAGACTTGTGAACAGATTTCTGTCTCTTCTTGATAACTTTCATCGCCAGTGTTTTCAATGGAATTGTAATGTCTAGTGGCAATAACACTTCTTGCAATTCACCCCAGGTGAGATCTTCAAAGTCACCATCTTCATAAACCACCCTATACCAACCCATTTCCTTGTCAAATTCGATGACTTTTCCGTTGAAGAGTTGTTCGCCAAACAATTTTTGCACTTCTCTACCTTCCAACCATTCACCAAAGCCAGTTAGCATCTGGGGTTCTGCACTAGTAACAGAACAAGGAATAAGAATGTCGTCACCAGAAGACAAGGGAGGCAACCCATTTATTACAATAGCAGGTTCTCCAGGAATCTCAAAAACCCCATTTGATGAAGACTCTAATAAATTCTCATCGGCTGTGTTATCCATTCTCCACAGCCTCTTATCTGAAGCTTGTATAGAAAATTCAACACAGAGCTAAATCAGTAAAGGATAAGTAAAATAAGTAAATATGAGATTATTTTTCACAAGACTTGCTAAGAGGCACCGAGTAAAACAATTAACAAGACAGATTTTCATTACTGAGAAATTGAATAATTACTCAAATACATTTGAGCCCCATTTTTGGGGGGAAATGTAATGTGGCTTACTAATTTTTTTGGAGAATGTGTGGTTAAAAAATAAGGAAAAGTTTTGTGTGTATGTGAAATTATTTTATGAGAAATTTGTGGTTGAAAATGAGTTTTGTAAAAATGAGTTTTTGGAAAAATGGAGGCCATACATAGGCATAATAATCAATGAATGCAGAGGTGACCCAACAGATACTACAGTGATATATTTCCACTGGATATCCCAAAGAGTAACAAACAATCAGATAATTGCACATCTCTTGTATGGAACTCATCGAAATATAATCTACAAGAGACGGATTCAATCCCATATATTGGTGATCTTGTAGGAAACGGTACATAGGCACAAGATGAGAACACAGAGTAAAACATGGGTATGGAGCGTAGATTTGCCCTGTACTGCACATTAGTGATCTAGTTCAGGTTATAAAGATAGTTAGAAGTCATATGTTACTAAATATAGACGATAATTATCATAGGTAGATAAGTCGACGCCAGCACTAAAATCAGCAATTGTAAGAATAGAAAGGTTCGAGTAAATTGTTTGAATTAATAGTGTATCAACTCAACATGCATGGCTCATCTGTGACCATCCTATAAGCAACAGCATCTAAGCAAATGTAGCACAATAACTGACTCTTTCAATTTCAGGCCAAATCAAAAAATTGGAATCCATGAATATAAAATTGCTCTGTACAAATGGTAGGTGACATTACTGAAAAGCCTAGGTAATCTTTTCTTCCATGATAAGGAAATGGAGTGTCTGATAACACAATGTTTATTTCCAATGATAAGGATTACTCCTGTTATTTTGAAATTCCTTTAACTGTCTTCATAGCGTGCATGATTATCTGCTCAGATTGCCTTTTTAATTCCAAGGAGAAGCATAATAACAGTTAGAGCACATCTGTCCCCCATAATATTTAATTTCAATTAACCTGATGCCATGAGTTGAATTATAAAATCGAAGTTCCAATTTATACGAGAAAGAATTCCACTATAGTCTCTGATTGCTAAACTAGAAGTCCAAAAGCCACTAATGGGAAGTGTATAAACGGTATAAATTATAATAAATACAAAGAAATGATTGATGGATAAGTGAGTAGTATCCTAGTTAAAAATGCTTTCATCTATTGCACAAGTCATTTGTTGACTACTTTTTCCAAGATTTATATACATTAACTACCTCGAACCTTTATGTGATAATACCACACAATCAAGTTGCTGAATAGAATAAAGAAGAAACTGCAATACCCACGTATTAACTCATATAAAACTCTTTTCAATTCCAATTTTTTCCCTTAAAAAGGGACAAAAAATATGCAATTTCCATTACTCCATATTTATAAACCATGATACTGCCTAATTACATCCATTCTACCATAAAATTAGAGAGGAAAAATTCAGAAGCCTCAAATTTTAGGTTTTCATAAATCTGATATAATCAGAAAAATGCTTCGCAAATCACAACCAGAAAAATTGATCGAATTTACTAAAACTCGTCCGCAGAACTAATTTCACACACTATAAATAAAATAGAAATATACACACACGAGAAGGTAAAATTAATTGAAAGCGCAACGAAGAACCTGAAGTACAATCAGTATCTGCAGTTGAAGCGAAAGGATGTATAGTTTCAGTGATTATCCAAAATATTTCAGATTTTTCTTTTTATAGTATTTTTGAAGGTACATACATACTTGACTCGTTGACCTCACTTCAAACTCGAGAAAGTTGAATCGGCCCACTTAAAATGATAGTTCTGACCAAAGCGTAGGCCCACCTTAAAGACCTCAACTAGGCCTAGTAAAATCAGATGAAAATGAGCCCAGTAGCTCAAGATTAATTTTGATTAAATTTTATTAATATATTTAGGAAATCGATCCTTTAGGCTTTTACCAACGAATTTTATAAATACATTTATAAGTAATCTTAATATGAAAATAAATAATTTAACAAGCTGTTTTAATCATATGCATATCGTAAGATTAGAGGAAAAGTAAATTACCCTAAACCTTATATTTTAAATATCAAATTCAAAAATCAGGTATTGCTATTTTTCTTTAAATAATCAACTCATAAAAATTATTTAAATTTTTTATATGTTATTTATCAATCCCACCCTAGCTATGTCAATTAGCCGAATCGAGAAAAAAAGCTCGAGCTGAGCTGAGCTTTTTTGGGCCCCAAGCCGAGCAAAGCCCAGTAAAAAAAATGAGGCTCGACTCGAGCTGGTTCGAGTTTTTTGGATTTTTTTTTAAAATTAATTGTTGCCTTTGCAGGCAGCTAAAATAGCTGCCTACAAAAGCAGCTCTTTAAAAAAATTTCATTAAATTTTTTTTTTTTAAATAATGGAAAGGCTCACCTTGGTTGTGGGCTCGAACCGACGCCCCAAAATGGGGCTCGGCCTGAGCCTTGGCTCGGTTCCACCGAGCCTGAGCCGGACCCGGTTTGAGCTTTTTTCGAGCCGAGCTAATGAGCTTTTTTGCCATCCTACCCCTCATCTCTACAGATTCTCTCTCTCTAATCTCTCTTTCTACCCACCCTCTACACTCCCTGTTAGAATTGGATTATGACTCAAATTCTAATAAGTATTTTAATTGAAAATAATGTTGGAGGAGTATTGAGAGTTGACAGCAAATTTGAAAATATCTTGAAGGAGTTCGAGGTGAATTTGACGTTTATTTTATCTCAAATTCTCCATTATTGATTTTTTCCATTGTATTGATGCTTCACCTTAAATTAAACACTTCATGTATTAATTCTCTTACTATGATAGGGATTCTTTGGTTATAACTATGTGGTGTACAACATATATTCGAATTAACCAATTGTTCAATTAGTTATTGGTCCAAACAGATCATGTGTAACTCCTTACTATTAATTATAGTGAATTCTTTGCTTTTGCCCATGGTTTTCCTGAATTTGAGTTTCCACATAAATCTTGTTTCCTTTGTGATTTATTATTTTCATGTTACTCATATTATTCTCGTCTTTATTATTTGGCCCCGGTTCTCAAAAGGTGGTATTAGAGTGATTCAGTATCTTGTTTGTTTCTAACAAAGTGGTATTAGAGCTGAAGATTTTTTTGCGGTTCTTGATAGGGGCAAATTGATTATTAAAACTAGGTTTGGACAATGTTGATTATTTCAGGGATAGCAAGTATGAAATTTGAGATTTCGCTTTTGGATCGCAACATCATATTTTATTATGGCATATTTTTACTTGGACGTTGGAGGGGAAGCAATGTAAAGAGTTGTGATCTTGTTGCCCGTGGAGATAATTAGAGCAAATTTGTTAACTCAGATGAGTTAGTTGTAAATTTGATGATTTTGTTGTTCGTGTTGATTCGAACAAGTTTGATGCCCAAGGTAATTATGTTGGTAAGTAGTGCTTGGATTCAGTTCATAATTGTTGAGTATACTCGGTGGGGCATGGTTTGCTCGGAATAGACACGGTGGAAGAGGTTGAGTAATTTGTTTGGAGTGTTCTAATTGAAGAATTATTTTTTGAGTTTGTTGAAGAGTTACGTTTTATTCCTTATAGTGGAATTCGCGTCAATGTGGAATTTATTAGAATTGGATTGTGACTCAAATTCTAATGAGTATTTTGATTGGAAATACTATTGGATAAGTATTGAGAGTTGGTAGTAGATTTGAAGATATCCTGAAAGAATCCAATGTGAATTTGATTTCTATTTTATTCCAAATTCTCCATTATTGATTTTACTAATGGTATTGAGATTTCACCTTATATTAAATTCTTCATGTATTAATTATTCTAGTATATTAGAGATTCTTTGATTATAAATATGTGGTGTACAACACATATTGAATTTGACCAATTGTCCAATTAGTTATTGATCTAAAAAGATCATTTGTAACTCCGTACCATTAATTATAGTAAATTCTCCACTTTTGCTCGTGGTTTTTTAGAATTTGGGTTTCTACGTAAATATATATATATATTTTTTTATGATTCATTATTTTCAAATTGCTCAAATTATTCTCATCTTATTATTTGGCTCGATTCTCAACAAGTGATTCTAATATCTTATTTGTTTCTATCACTCCTCTGTATCCATCCATCCACACCAATGGTTGAGAAACGCATTAGCAGATGGCTGAGGAGCTACATTACGACATCGCCACCTTCCTCTTTGACAACACACTGATCTATCTATTTACACGCAAATCCAAACTTCGCATTGTTGATATTTGGTTGATTGGTGGCTACGAGGCGAGAAGAAGTTTAGGCGATGTGTTTTGGACGCAGCGACGTGAATGAATCAGTCGACAATGGTGGGGAAGATAAAGGTAGATGCTGGCGATGGAGGTCGAATTGAATAGTGATTAAAGATCATGTGTGATTTTTAGAAGAACGTGTGGTTAAAAATAGGAAATTTTTTAGTTTACGTGCATAATATTTTATTGCGTGAATTTAAAAAAACAAAAATCAAATAATGACCACCAAACATGGCATAATTATTTAACATGTCATAAAATTTATCAAATGGTCACAAATGTGACCACCTAATTTTTGAAAGAGTATCACAAATTTCTTAGTGTGTCTTGAAATTATGATAATTATGTATTTCTCATATTTTTAATCTTTTAAATATTCTTGACTTAATTTTGGCATTAATCCATTAATTTATGTAATCACATGCTTTATGAAAAACCATAGCCAACTTCAAATTTATTACAACATGACTATAAAATTGTCGACTTTGAGAAGAAGATTAGCCCAACCTAGCCCAATGAGTCCAACCCACTTAGGATTCTCAAAACATAGAGTGCCTCTTTGAAATTGCTAAAAAGTTGAGGTCAAATTAACAATTAATGTTTACTACACATTTTTTAGAACCACAAATTTTATCAATTTTTTAACTATGAATTTCATCAAGTTTCATCGAAATTTGTTAAGATTTTTATCAAACAACGCGGGAATGTTTTTACCTACTATACCAACATATGGACGAGTATTTTCCTTTTCTAATTATAGGGTGTGTTTGATGGATATTATTGAAAAAAGAATATATTTTAAACGGTGATACAATGGAAAATATTTGGTTAAAAAGTAACGAAAGTTATTAATATAATGAAAAATATTATTTTATTGAAAAATGCGTGATTGAAAATGAGTTTTGAAATAATTTATTTTGAAAGAATGTATATCAAACAGGGCAATAATATTCAAAAAAATAACAAAAAATAAAGCTCATTTCCCATGGACGAGTCTGCAGCCCTTACAGCCAACATGCACATTTGGCCACGTAAGTAGATGGGGGGACTCAAACATAGGCCCAACTAATATAGGGATCGAGCATTCAAGCTGTGTACGAGCTGAGCTTTTACGAGTTATAGTATTTTCAAGAGATTCTTTAAACATGATATATTCTCTATTTTAAAAAGTCAACTTTTAAAATTATATTCAAAGAGACTCTTTAAATTAACATTTTAATTTAGAGAGTGAGTTTCGATATTCAAATTTGAAGAATCAGACTCACTCTCAATAATTAAATACATTCAAAGTATTTCAATTTTCAATATAAGAAAANATTCAAAGTATTTCAATTTTCAATATAAGAAAACAATAAAATAATTTAAAGAAAAGTTAGTTAAAATAAAATATAAGAAAAAATAATATAAATTTTTTGAGAATTGTAAAATTAAGGCACCGTTTGGTAGCCATTATTCTAGAAAAAATGCGTTCTTTGTGTCAAATCACACTTTTTTTGTGGTTGAAAATGAAGGAAAAGTTATTGATGTGATGGAAATGATTATTTTATTGATGAATGTGTGGTTGAAAATTAGTAGAAGAATGAGAATGAAAAAAAGAATGGATACCAAACAGAGGCTAAGTGTTAAATATAAAGAACTTATTGAAGTACTTCAAAATTTTAACTCTCTAAATTTATAGATACTTTCTAAATGATAGAATATTATATTTAAAAATAGAGAGTCTCTTGGAGATGCTCTTAGTGAGCTAACCAAGCTCATTGTTACTCCTAGCAAAATTAATTACCAAAATAGAGAGCATTGCTTGAGTGTCTAAAAAATGTTACTTTTTAACTTTAAGAAATTTTTAGAGTAAGAAGAAGGCCTTTTTTTATAATAAACTTCTAAATCGAAAAGAAATTTTGAAACTCCGTCGACTTTCTCATTATATCTAATTGAACCCATCTCATCAATTTGTTTAAACTATCTATTCTGTGAACCCCGTGCTTTGCGACTTATGTCTACTTGCGTATCAAGGATAAGTCGTTAAAGTGACTAGTGTGAGTGTCTTTGAGCCTCTAATTCCCTCTCCTCCCATCATTGAGTCTCGTTGGACAAAAAACTTTAGTTGGGTATATGAAGGAATAATACAATCGATTCAAGTTGGGGCGTCTTTCTCATATCCTATTTTTGTCCCCCTCTTTCGGAGCCATACAGAAATGGTACTTTTTTACGTTGTTTACCTTTGTCATTGGGGAATTTGGGGAGAATCATGCTGCATGTATATTTTCTTTAACAACAATTTTAACATTGTGTCACGTGTCTTGACATCATTGGACAGTTTTGAAAAAAACACACACATTCCCGTCCATTTCAATTTGAACCTCGATGAAGTGTAAAATACAATTTACTAGTGGTATTATCCATTTGGGGAAGATCTATGTGGGGCCCAGTAATGAGGACTCAAACAAGATTATTAACTTTTAATTAATTAAAAACCAAATCATAACTATTTCTCATGCCATTCCTTTCAAGTTCTACAAATCATCCACTAATGGGGGACCCATGTTTTCTCTTCGTCAATTGCTTCAAGCTTACGACGGTCCAACTTAAATTCAATTAATAATATGATGGTTTTTAATTATTTTATACCATTTCATATGCAGTATTAAATAATATGATTTCAGTTTAGAAAACTTTAGTAAAAAAAAAAAAGGTTGATATAATAATTAAACAATACTAGTAAAAAATATATATTGATTATTATTGTGTGATTTAGCATATTTTAAAGGAATAATTGCACTATATATATTGTATATATTAAAAGTGGCTATGTAACGGAATTTCTTGTTTTTAACGGAAAAACTAACGGAATTTGTTATTGTAACGGATTATGTAACGGAATTTCTTGTTTTAAACAGGCAGCTGCACCTTCTTTCAGTATTTTTATCATAACTTTGTATTCCAATGTCCGATTGACGCGATTCAAAATGCGTTGGAAAGCTAACTCATCTGGCTACAATTATGATTCAGACATCATTCTCCAATTCGATCACTTTCTATGC